TATTCATTAAATAATCGATTTTTCCACAATATATATATATATATATATATATATATATAAATTGTGGAAAAATCGATTATTTAATGAATAATAATCGATTAATAATTAAAATCGATTTATAGTTTATAAATAATCGATTATTTAACTAAAATCGATTTATAAATTCTAAATAATCGATTATATAATAAAAATCGATTTATTTTAATAAAATAATCGATTATGTTTTTCTGACTTCCAGCATCTCATCTGAACAAAGTTCTAATCGATTCTTAGGAGTAAATAATCGATTTTCGGTTACTGTTCATCATCTTCTTCCTCTGGTCAGTTTCGAGTATTATCATTTTTAATCACCAAACTTCAATTAAATTATATAGAAATGTTCTCCAGGGTTCATAGATCATTTTGGAATCATTAAAACATATTTTTAACATCAAATTCAAGGTTTATGATTCTTGGTTCTTAAACATGTCAAACACAAAACTCAACCAAATGACCATTTATGAACGTAGAAACGACCTATATGAACATTCTAGTCATTAGATATATCTACGGGCTTACCTTGAAGCATTATGGAGGTTTTGAAGATTTTCCGGCAAAACTTCCGGCGACAATAGCTCTCAACTCCGGCGACCTCATACTAAATTGACAGCACCACTGCGTTCTCCACACTCAAGGCTATCTCTCAGATCAAATTTGATGAAGAATGGAGGGTTTATATAGTGAGGTGAATGGAGAAGGAGACATGGAGGATGACACCAATTCTCCTGTTTTGGCGTCTCAGTGGATTGGACGGCCGATTCCTACGATTCCAAACGCAAGTCCCTGATTGGGACTAATTTGGTCCCAGTCGGGGAACACTTTTTGGTCCAACTTTCTCCGAATTGAAATCCGTTTGCACCGTTGTGATCGTACATTTAAACTCTATCCAACGATATAATTTTTATATTTATTTGTAACACTTTTTCTGACATCATATTTTTGGGTGGTTGACTTTGACAGAGTTAAAATTGATTTAATTGACCTTTACTCAAAAAGGTGCTCATATTCAATTCATATTATTTATTTCCATGATTTATTTCAATAAATCATTTCAAAGTTCACTACATAACTAATTTCTTTATTTATTCTTGATTTGGGTCCGTACTCATGTTCCCAATCAAGACCACACAAATATTCAACATATTGGATTTATCTCTATGAGATTTATCCAGATTAAGATATTGGATATCAAAACACATCTCATTTCGACCCTGATGGGTGTATCAAAACACATCTCATTTCGGCCCTGATGGGTGTATTTCACCCAGCTGCCATAATGAAACGTCCTCCCGGTGAAAGGATCCCCACGCATGAGGACCTCAAGATTCGCTTCCAAGTCTGGGGAGGAAGCCGGTGCAGTGTACTCTTGGTCGAGCAGATGGTCATTCCATTTCAGACCGGCCAGAGGAGTGAAGAAGGGGGGAAACTCGATGAAAACAAACTTTTCCTTCCATCCCCGGTTGCTCTGGGGGACTTCGGAAATGAACTTCCTACCGGTGCGGGCTTTGAAGAATACAAAACCTTCGCAGCCAGCCCCGCCCGGTAGGACTTCGAAGCAAAAAAGGAAAAGACGCAAAGAAGGGAAGATTTTGAGATGGGTACAGATATTTACGAAGGAGTGGAGGTACCGGTGGGCGTTAGGAGTTATTTGGCCGGGCAAAATCCTAAACGCATGGCAAACCTCAGTAAGGAGGGGGCGAAAGGGGAAAACTATGCCCGCATCCAGGGAAATAGTATGGAATCCTATTCTATCCTCCCGGTGGGGCTCTACGATATTGGGCCAGTTGGGTTCGTAGAGGAGGGCATACCCATCCGAGAGCCTCCTACGAATTTTGTTCAGGGCGATTTTGGATACGCGTGAAGGGATGTCAAGAACGTAAAAGGTGGGGAGTGGAAAGTAACCGGCAGCATGGAGCCGAGCCTC